ATCAGTGTTGAAGTTACAATAAGAAAGGCAGAGGTGGGTTGTGGGCTATTCCAGCTCCTCCATCCTGCTCTTTCACCCCATTACACACATGTACGCACATGTTTGTAGTGGCGGGGCAGCTTTTTTTCACACTTAAACAGCACACGCTTGAATGCAAATGAGAAAAGCATTAGGCCTCTCTATGCTGTCTCTTTGTCTCATTTTCCACATTGAAATGACAGACCTTGTAGGTAAATCACTTGGTAAAGTAGAAAAACAACTGGAGACCTAATGAAGCCACAAATGTTTTCCGAGAAATGATTGTTTGCAGGCGTGAGGAATCTTGTTTTTTTTTTTTTTTTTTGCTGCTTAAGGCAAACCTATGAGAAAAAAAATAGAAATTGTTAATTTCATGGATTAGCGGTGACAATGTTCACATGTATCTTATCATATTAGCAAAACTGAGATGTGTTTGTCAGTTTACATCTCTGCTGTGGGAAATCACAGTCTCATCAACATGAATGTGGAGCAAGCTTCCCAAACATCTCTAAAAATGAACGCTGATGGAAATCTTAACAGGCAAAGCGAAGCTGCTTTTTCTCTGAATGAATGACTAGTCAGCACCTATGGCTGAAATCTGCTCCTGGGTCCCGCAGATTAAACACCAGCAGAAAAGACAGTAGGTGGGGAACACATAATTCTGTCCTCTTCAACTTTAATCAGGAGTACACTGACGTGCTGCAGCCCCCTCCACGTCTCTCATAATAATAGGCCGCTAAAAATTCAGGAGGCAGGCTCCACATCAATCACTCGCCAGATTTGAGTCCAATGCAATAAATATGCAAATGAGGAGAAGCCAATGTCTCATAGCTTTGAGATCTGCACAAGGAAGGGTGGGAGGCAGGGGGGTGGGGGGAGAAGGGAAAACTGTATTAATTGCCCGTGGCCAGAGGAATCCTATTACTGTGGGCATTGATTATAAAATTGTACGTGTGAATGATTTTCATGCAGAAAGTGGACGGCCGAGCCTGGGGCAAGAAGTGTAGACAGAGTTGAACTGGATTGGCTTGTGGAACAAATTAAAGGGAAACAGTCACAACAAAAAGGCCAAATCTAAGTTGAAGTAAGATTTAGATTAAGGAATGAAAAGGATCTGGCTCCAATTACAGAAAAGGAATTATTCCGCTAATATGAATCCCTCTATTGTACTGTACTCTAGTCTAGACTATTTTAACTGATTCAGAAACTACAAATTCCAACATTTCGGGTATCCTTTAACAACATCTATATACACCTGATTCAGGTTTGCAGGCCATCTTCCTCACAAACATCTTCTTACCTATTTTCTGTAGGACTAAGATCACAGCATCATGACTGCTAATCTGAAATATAAACTTTGTTGCCCTTAAGCCACGTGGTAACACTTTATTGTTATGATGACAGTGTTAGTCCATTTAAAATATCTATTTGTATCCAACCTTTAAGTTCCTTAAAATGTAGTTTCAGTGTTTTTACATATCATTCATTACACTGCAAAAATTGATGGCTAAAAAATGTATATCTAAAATCATTTTGTTCTTAAAATAAGTGCATTTTGTCTTGAATGGAGGAGGTGAGACACTTTGCCAATAGAACAAGGTAATTTACATTTAAAATAAGAAAAAAAACAACTGCATTTTATCTAATTATCTTATTTAAAGAGTAAAAATACTAATTTAATTTGCAAATCATCTTTACCTACTAAGATTGAGGGTAAAAACACTTGATTTAAGAAATTTATACTTACTTCTAGATCGTTTTTGCAGTACTTAATGCTATCTATTTTGTAAAGTGCACCAGTTCCATGCAGTAAAGAACCAAACCACTTGCTGCAGACATAAGACACTCAGGCTTGTCTTACATTTTCTCCAAATATAATTGTGATTATTAGTGGCAGACACCTCAGTTTTGGTTGGTTTTGACTGTAGGACATGTCTCTTAAAATGAAGACTACCTTAGACAGCCAATCTAAACAAAAGCTGTTCAACAGTATTAGAACTACTCTTTTACTAGTTTCAACCAGGATCCAAGGTCTTTTATTCTCACACTAAAATACATTATCATGGACAGCGATGAGCTCTCCTCCCTGAATAGTATGATATTCGAGATCCTTGGTCTTTTTTTGTATATAGCTTTTTGAACAGATGAAAATTGAATCTCCTGGAAATTCGCATTATAATTTTTATCTTGCAATAGCATACAAAGCCATGATGTAACCATCTCGGTGACACACACACACAGTAATCTTAGCTATGGTTTTGATCCTAACTGAGATATTTGATATATGACTTTGAAAGTGTTTTCTGCTTTTATTTACAGTCAAAACGTAAAAAAAGTACCATGTAAATATTCTTTTTTTTTTCATATATGACATTTATTAAACGTTAGACTATACTTTGAAGCGGTTTTGATTTTTACAACATGATAAGTAACAACAGAGTATCATTAAAACAACTGTACTACCACCCAATACAAAATAAAAGCTGCTGTGATGTTTCCTTTAACTTAGATGCTGAGCTTGCATGTTGGGAGTCTTAACCAAACATTAGATGGTGACCCATATGGTTACCCAGCATTAGAGAAAAAACTCATAAGCAATGTGGAACAATTCAGTAAGATGATTGAAACTTTATTAGACCTCATCCAATCTGTCAATTACAAGATATAAATAAATAATTAAGTGTAATAATGTTAATATCTACAGCAATATCAGTAAGACTGCAATCCATTCACCTAATTCATAGATTAATCATTTTCTTTCCCTTTAACTAGAATGTATTAAATCAAATTATATATTAGTTTCTTTGTAGAGAAAAGTCTTGATAAAAAAAAAAACTAAAAATAAAATCGTTTTTAATATTTTATTTTTATACGAAAGATAGAAAAATGTTATGTTCACAGTTAGTGTTTCAGATGGTCTAATTTTGGCCTGGGCCATTTGATTTATCTTCAAAAATTTTAGACACTCTCTTTAAACAAACAATGTTGATAAAATCTCTGTTCTCTTTCTTCCCTCTACATTGTTATGTGGTGTAAGTCTGCTTACACTATATGCAGTTTCTTCACTCATTGGTGCATCAAAATTTGCACATGTCCATATTTTTTATAAGTCTTATTGTCTAAATTGCAGATTCCACTATGGTATACATTGTATTGTATTTGAGAAATATCATAAGCTCCTGTACAATATTCAAATGGTTGAAATCTCTGTGTCTATAATAACAACACATACATTAGCTAAATACACCGGTACAAACCATATATGCATTAAAGGTGAAGTCACTGACTTTCAATTGTTGGATTAATTTAGGGAAATGTTTATATGTCTCCGTATGTGTAATAATAATTGTTTTTCAGTAGTCCCTCTTATGGCTTCTAAAAAAAAAAAAATCTAAATTTTACACCTACAACTTTGACCAATAGAATTGTGCATTTGTCTAGAGCTAGCTGTCAATCTACCAGCGTGTGCAGAAGTGTGCAGGAAACCTAACACTAACTTCCCCACTATGGGTGGACCTAGATGTAATGTCAGTTTACAGTTTGAACATAAACCTAAAAGGAGGGAGGAAACAGAAAGGGGATTCATCCTTTACTGTATGTAGAATAGTCTTAACTGATTAGTATTTTGTTCAGCCTTGTGCTTGAGATGAACAAGTTCACTATATGTAAACTGTCCATAGGAGTGAGTTTGTGAGTGCATGGTTGTTTTGTCCTGTCTGTCTCTTTGTATCGCTGTGATGGACTGCCGATCCAGCCAGAGTGTACTCGCCTCTCGTCAGAGGAGATAGGTATCAACCTCCCTGCCATCCTGACAAGGAAAAAGCAAATAGATGGATTTACAGTAGCTGAATGGGAAGATTATCATAAAAGTTGTTACTTTTACTCATCTCTGCCCACATGTGTTTTAAAGCAGCAAACAATATCAGGAGCGCCACAAGCAGAAGCTCTGGTTTTTAAAAAAAATCTCCAAGTAGAGGAGAAAAATCTACAAACAAAGCAAATGACTGCTTTTAACCCAAATTCTGTGTTTATGCTGTTGGTGGAGATGTTGAATAGCTTTAACCAAATATTGGGGCAAAACAAGTGAAAGTGTTTTATAGGTTTATGATGGTTAGAGAGAGCTCTATCATTTTTCACAGATCACCATTTGGAATGTGATATGGACTGTTCGAGTTAGAGAACAGATTGGTCCATTTAGAATAATCATGCTTATAAGTTAATACAAAAAGACTAGAACCGCTTTATTTGTTTGTGTTTTATGTGTTCCTGCAAGTGCATTAAGAATGCTCAAAAATATGCCCCCTATTCATGTTATTAACTGTGAAATACATTGATAGTTTTGCATTTATAAAATGATCATAAAAGAAACTCCCAAATCATAATTCCTATTTTGATTTGATGATTTTAAAAATACGGTTCCTGCACACTTGCAGGTCATAAGCAGATAATAAATGGATAATTTATTTTTAAGCAGGATACGATTTGTTTAGAACTTCGGGGTTTAGGTTAATTTAATCAACTAATTTTGATTGTTTTAACATCTACTTAAATAATACATTACAGATGAGTCAGTTTACCCTGTTTTTGGTTTGAAGAACCGACCTATTATGCTGGCTCGAACCCTTAACCCAACCCTTTAATGTTATATTATCACAGGCCTGGGTTGGCCTGTTTTGATAGGGCTCGGATAGCAAAATCAGTCAAGTTGGGTTATTATTTACGCAGCAGTTGTAAGTATACATAGATATAAGCTGCTTTATAGAGTAGTTATTTTAAATGTTTTATGTTGACTAAGAACAACGGACACCCTGAGTAAATAAATGTGTTGTCTCTACAATGTAGCACAAACAATCCTTACTAACTTTAGAGATAAAATGACTTGACTAAAAGGACAACAACTGGCAACTTTTTTTTGGGTTATCAATAAAGCAGCAATGCTAAAAGGAAGAGCATTTCTTGTTGCATAGAAGACTCTGAAATCCATTTATTTTACATTTGAGTCTATATAGAAAAAGTCCTTCTTTCTTAGTAGTGCAGAAAACAAGCTTAAAACATATTACAGAGTTGGTTGAAATCGTTTCCACTGGACAGCTAAAAGTGCAGAACTGCATCCGAGTTTTGCCTTAAACTGTTTCTCTAACAGAAGGACAAAATATGATCTAAATAAAACACTCGAGCAGCAGAGCCTTAAGAAAACCATTTACTGTTCTGTACATTATTTCTTCATAATCCCACATACAGATGGACCCGCGATGAAGCCAAATCACCCTTCTTCACCAATATAAAATCGTCAGACTTACAAAGATATCATTCTGAAGGCAGACATGTAAAGACGTTACAAAAAAGAAATCAAATCACAGTCCTGAGAGACATACTGTATTGATCTTTTTAGTGTCACAGTCATAGCGTGTGATTTGTAACCAAATGATAAAATCCTGTTTACATAATTACAAAGAGACAGGGTTCTGTTTGTCAGTGTGTAAAAAAAAAAACAACAACAACAAAAAAAAGGTGTACAGTACATCATGCATGTTCAGGTCAGAACTTCTGATAATCCTGGACAGTGCTGCTAAAGCATCCTCATGGAAAATCATACCCTAAACTTCTTAATCAGTCGGCTGAAAACAAAGTGCAGTATAATTAAAGTGAAGAAAATAAATGCATTTCAGACCCTCTTCTTAAAACAAATATATTTATTAATTGAACACAGAGTTTACGCTACAACAGGCAGGTTTATTTCAGGTTTCATAAAAAAAAAAATGTTTTAACAGGTCTTCTGGAGGTTCAGGGAGCCTAAATGACCCTTTGGCCAATTATTAAACCCCAGATTAATTCAATATAGTTGAGTTTTTAAGAAGGATTTTTGCTTCCCAGCCTCTGAAACAAACTTAAACCATTGTTTGCTTATTGCTTGATCAATGAGGCCTATCTTCAAAAAAAGTACTGATGGACATTCACATGAAAACTTTTTAAACAAGTGCCTTAATAAATAAATAAATAACTAAATAAATAAATAAATATATAAATAAATAAATAAATAAATAAATAAATAAATAAATAAATAAATAAATAAATAAATAAAATAAAGTGAGTGCTTAGTTTTGTCCGCATTACCAGGCAGTGCCTTCACTCAGTTCAGAGGAGGGCTGTGACAGCTGGTTGCTGTATCCGGTGTCGCTGAGGGTCACAGCGGTGAACGGCGTTCCGGGGCCGCACAGCTCGCTGGAGATGCTGTGAATGGAACCGGGCCCGCTGGGCTCTGGGCTGGGCGAGTCCGCAGGGTGGTGTGACGCGCTGTCCGAGAAACACGGTACCTCTCCTCCGCCGCAGTGATGCTGCCCCACCGCTGCGTGTTGGTGGTGGTGATGGTGGTGGTGGTCCATGGCTCCTAACGGGGTGCCGGCGGGGACCGTGGATGGGACAAAGCCCAAGTCTGCTGGGGTCTGAGCTTGGGATGAAGGCGGGCCTTGGAAGTACTCGTAATTCCCTCCTGGGCCGTAGTATTCACTGGGATAATCTGCGTTTGTTAAAAACATGGGGGTCAGCGCGTGAATGGCAGCAGAACACAAAGACTGGAACAGCTTTATGAATGACAAGTATAATGAAAAGACATGGCGCCGTTATGTATCTGACCTCCATAATAGGAGAAATGGCCAAGCTCTCCAGGCTCCAGTCTCTCTCCCAGAGCTCTCATCCTCCTCGGACTCCGGAAGAACACGTGCCTCCGCGCGCTCAGCGCGCTCAGCTGCTTCATGCGCCGCTCTTTGGATCTTCGGTTTTGGAACCAAACCTTCAGAAGACATTAATTGACATTTTCAATAATAGGCTAGAGAGGAATTCATGAAATGATAGAGGAGGCACAAAAAGAATAAAATAAAATAAAAAATAGAAACTTTAAATTAGATTTGCTCCCACATCAAGACTCCAGAAATAAGCCAAATCTTAGAAGATAACAAGATAAATGCGAGCTCGTTTAGAGTATTAGGATTTCCACCAAGCATGATAGTTTGTGAAAGTAATATTCAAAATAGGATATAATCTATTATTTAGACTTTTTAGGGCAGGAAATCCCGTTTAAGCATGTATTAGTTTTATATTGTCTCAGTCAACAGTTTGACTTACTTGTTGTGTGAATGTCCATCACAGATAAACAGATCTGCACTGATAAAACAAGTTTTTAATTCGAGCAATTTAAGTTCCAATAACAAATTGCCTGAATCTATTTTTTTTTTAACAAAAATATGTAAGATCGAATTATGTATGTAACAGGAATAGCCAAATGAATGTATTTAAGTGCAAAAAAATTTCAAAATTCACTGCTTTATTCTTACTAATTATTGCAACTCTTTGTTTTATATGGTTTGTAAAAAGAAACAAGATAAGGGGGTTAATGTTTCCAGCAATTTTCAACAGTCACAAGGCTTTCTAAACTTGGATAAAATATTTGTGCCAACCGTATGATCAGATGACTAGAGGAAAATCTGCTCAAAAGTTTTGGGATTTGTTACTTTTGATGGTGAACATTGCTAGGATTTAGGTATTCTGTATGATAAATAAAATACAAAAGTCTATTGTATTTATTTTATTTGCAAATTGTAGTTCTGAAAAAAATAGTCACAATGTGCAAATTATTTTTTTTAACCAAAAATGTATATTTTTACTCCACAGAAATTGAACACCACTATGAAACTTAACATTGAAAGTTACCTTGATAAAACAAGAATGGTGTAATTTATATGTCACTTCAGACTAAAGTTTAACTTATTAGTTGGGCTTATAGCTACTTTCCAATGGCTGACATGCCTGTAGCTGTGATGGAAAATAGGTTCACTGCAAACAGATTATAAAAGCTTATTACAATTTCAGAAACATGCTCTAATCTCAAACTAATTCTGATGTTATGTTACTTTTTAACTTTGGAGGATAAACGAATAAAGTAAATTAAATTAATAATTATTCATAATTTAAATAATTTAGTTTAGCAATTGTGAAATTATTTCATTTAAGTGATTTATTTGAGTGTCTTTTAGTTTTAAAACTTACAGAGCCAAAACGAAATGTTGATTAAGTAAAAAGATTCAAACAGTCTAATGTTTACACGGATCTTTTTTATTCATTCAAGCAGTCTGACTTGTTTGAGAGGTAGAGACAATAATGGGAAAAAACAGAAGGAAAAAAACGCAATAAAAAAAGTAAAAAGTGAAACAGGAAGGTCGGCACTTTGGATGTTCATTTCACAAGAAAAACGAATACTTGTTTTTCACAGTTAATTTTTTTTTCTTTTTGTATAGTTAATATGCCATCACCTAAAAAATAAATAATAAAAATAGTCTAAAATTACTAAATATTATTATTTTCTTTATGTTTTCAGCTCGTTCCAAGCTCTGCCTCCTTCTCACCTGGATCACCCTCATATTGAGGCCGGTCTCCCGGGACAGCTGCTCCCGGATGTGTCTGGTGGGCTTCGGTGTGGCGGCGAACGCAGCCTTCAGCGTCTCCAGCTGCTTGGCCTTGATGGTGGTCCGAGGCCCGCGCCGCTTACCCACGGCGCTCTGCTCGTCGTTGTCGTTGCCGCACGTCTCCTTGTCGGACGCGTGTCCGCCCTCCGAGTCCTTCCCGTCATCCTGCGGATCCTGAGAGTCCGGAGAGAGGCTCCGATCGCTGCACGTCGTTACTGTCAGAGAAGTAAACAATGGCAGGTAAGAGCAGGATGTCAATATGAGCGTCATTACAGCAGCGAGGCTCGATGAGGTCACCTGAAAGCAGGATTGTGTCTTTCCCATTGTTGTTCTGATAGTCCTCCTTGCAGACAAACTTGAACTCGTCCAGGATGTATAATTCCTCCCCGGTGGACAGCTGCTTGTTACACATCATACAGGTGAAACAGTTGAGGTGAAACACTTTGCTCTTTGCCCTGCGGACAAGATCACTGGGCAAAATCCCCTGCGAGCAACCTCCACACTTGGTCCCAAATCTCCTGTTTAGAATAAAACAATGATACAAGAGAAAGTTTCAGTATAACTTTTTTGGAAGGTATCAGTACGTAAATAATTAGGTAAAATATTTAAATTATATATAAAGAATAAACTTAGCCTTTGTTGTTCCCAAATACACTGCAAAAATGATCTAGAAATAAGTAAAGGTTTCTTAAATAAAGTGTATTTCCCCTTAATTTGAGTGGGTAGATCATTTGATTTCCTTTTCAAATAAGATCAAATATAACATAAAATGTAATTGTTGTTTTCTTGTGTTAAATGAAAATTGTCTTGTTTCATTCGCAGCCTACTCAACTCAAGAAAACATTCATTTATTTTAAGAAAATATTACTTATTGAGATATGAATTTTTTTTGCAGTGCATGGTTGAAAATGTAATCTAATTTTCTAATCATAACTGTTAGGTTCAATATTAGCCGTTTTTAATGTAGATTTATTTCTATATGATTAGTAACATATTAGATAATAGAAAAAAATATATATTAATCCAAGATAATTCCCTTTACACACTATTATTTGTTTCCAGCAAAATTAAATGTATTGTTTTTCTAAGCTTAATTAATTTAATTTTCTGTATTTTGGGGGAACCTGCTTCTAAGGTTTTTTTTTTTTAAATGTTGCATTATTTCTGGGAAAAAAAATACTGTAATAATCTGAATATATATTGGATATAAAATCATTTGGGGCTTACCTAAAGAAGTCATTCTTACAATACAGTCTCCCATCCCTAGAGAAGCACTTCTCTGTGAGACTACATTTGCACTCGCAGCACTGGACACACTTGATGTGCCATGGTCTGTCCAAAACTTTTAGAAGGAACCTGTCCAGAATAGGCTTCTCACAGTCGGCACAGTGCAGCATTGTCCGGACTAGGTTCCGGTCCAGCTGATTAGAATCGGACTGTTTTCCTCCCTCTGCGATTTTCTGATGTTGGGATCCTGGAAATCCACTGGGTCCAGGTTGCTGTGAATGACTGGGCTACATCACCATCCGTTTGTTGGGTCCTGTAATCCAAAACGGCTCCGAACCAAAGATTCTTTTCACCATATAATAGGAAGCATCTCTGTGATTCAATTATTTCTTGTAAATCAAAACGAGCCCGTCAAGATCTTCCAATTTTTTCCCCCATTTGATCGAAAAAAAATTAACAATATAAAAATGGCAAAATATCCCCCGCGCTGTATGAAAAACAGTGAAATAGAGATGAAGAGCAGTCGGAGCGCACAGCCTGCGCTCCGTTCCTCTGATGAGCTCTGAGCCTGAAGGCTGTAATGAGCGCACCTTGTGCTGCTCAGCCTATTGCTTAATAAGGAACAGTCTACGTCATCAGCCCCAGAAACCTATGAGGAGTCAGCTTTGTTTGTGTTTCATGCTTATAAATGTAATACACCGGGTATACACAATAAAGGTAAACGAATTTTATTCTAAAACAATAAAAACTTAACAACAACGCTATAAACCCATAGACTCCCTATTACTAAGCCAGGGCCTGCACTATGAAATGGGATTTTGTAGGGTAATGAACAACTGACAAAAACATTCGCATTTTAACCACATGGAAATTTTATTCCCAAAATATTAGCTTATAAACTTATTTTTTAATTGATAGACACATTTTTGTACAAGCTTTATTATTTTTTTCAAATAAATCTTATCAAAAAGGTGATATTCATTCAGGTAGCTGTGGCTCCAATAATAGGATGAGCTGTTTAAACACACTACAGCTGATATTTTTTATTTTAGTGGTATCGTAGAAATATGAATAATATAAATAATAGAAATATTAGCTGTACTTAAACTTTTGGTTGTGAATGTTTGAGTTTGGAATTTAGCTTTTGTTTTCAATAATAATTTAAATGCATATCCAGGCCTTATTAGTTTAGCAAAAGTCATACTTGCAAGAAAGTTATGCTTCTATACCCAGTGGTTTATAATAAGCAGCCCTTTTATCAGTACTTTTCAGGAAAACTGTTTATATGCCATTCCTTTAGAATATATTGAAAAAGTTTTTATGCATTATTGACTATTTATAGAAAGCACTAAAGCTTCACTTGAAAGTGAGCAGCCTTCTAATCCTGTTGTTTCTGGTAAACTACACAATTTTAGCAGCAGTTGTATGGGGAACTCTTTATATGCCACCTTATTGACATAAATTTCCCTACTATTTCAGTAACTTCTTATACTTAGATCATAAATCAGTTCCCATTGTTGGTATGTATGTAAATATACATTTTACTGATCAAATACGATCTAATAGTTTGTTTAATAAGGACATACAGTACAAAAACATGCTGACTCTGTTCCAATTTTCTTTTTAGCTGTTTTTGGACTACATTGTAGTTTTAGAAACAATAATGATTTCATTTTAAGAGTCAGTCATGATGTCATTAATATGTTTTCCTTGGAAAAGAGCCTGGAAGTAGTGGCAGGTGACTGATGATCAGTAGGTCTGTCCCTTCAGCATAGAGGAGAGGACAGATAGATTAATGTTGTGGCCAAGCATTAATCTTCATCCCTCTTAAAGGACGAGCATCACTAATGGTTATAATCTGAGGCGATAGGCCGTCTCTTATAGATCTTATCGGATCATGTTGGTGCACATGGGGACGCAGATAGCGCACTTCCCCCTCCAAGGCTCCCAGCTCTGTTCGACTCCGATAACTGCAGGTCCCAGCAGCAGGGGGAACTGTACTGTAGGGAAATTAAAGAGCTGAAATTGGGAATCTTTCTTGGACAAGATCAGATATTGCAAGCCTTTCTTTTCTTTTCGTTTTGTTTTTGTTAACCCTTATACTTTTTTCTCTTGATTTTTTTTTTATGCAGAAAAAGATTAGCCAACAGAAAATTCTTTTTTTCCCCCCTGGCCCTTACTTAAGTTATAATTTCTTTAGTCTTATAGGTCATTTAAAGAAGAGATTCTGGCAATTTAATCTTTATATATCAATCCAACATGACTAGAAAAATCATTTTAGTTTAATAAGTATTTTGATTATTTGACCAATATGCATCATGGACATTAATGCACAGCAGATACAATCATTTCAGATTTTATCTGTAATTTTGATCATAGTAAATATTTAAAAAATAATTAACTAAAAAGAAAATTTGTATCATCCCTACTATTCTTTCTATTCATTCTTTATTTTCCTTGTTGATTTAAGTACCATGGAGAGCGACTCAGATGTTTGGCCTGTTAAAAAAAGAAATGCAAAAAATGCTGTAGGCTGTTAGATATTGTAGAATTTGATAGCATTGCAGTCAGCTATTCACTAATTTATTAATTCACGAGTCCTTGCTGCTGCCAGAAGAATAAAATCTTAGATTTATTTTAAGAATCTGTTGAAATAATGCATGTCTTCAAAGATTCCTGTTATGGTCTTTGCAAGAAGGAAAATCTGTTGCTGTTGGGACAGAAAGAGAATGATTGCAAGAGCTGTTATTTTTTAATTTCCTTGCATTGCATAGCATTTAAATATTTATTGTTTCCTAAGATGGCCAAAATGAATGTAATTAGTACCTCTTCTTTGCATTGGATAACATCTAATTGTAAGTTTAATAATTCCAGTGCATTCAGTCTTTTCAGATCAGTCGGCATCAGTATATATAAAAGAAAATCACAAAAAAAATAAAAATAAAAATAAACATTGACTTGACTGAACATCCTTTACCTCGATTGTATTTGGAAACCTTGCTGACAGGACACATAAAACATAAAAAAAAAGGATAAATAGGTGAAATATTCCATCCAAAGTAATTTGAAATTCCTTGATGAGCATGTGTGTCAAATTAAGCTCACTCGCACACAAAAAAGATCTCAGTGCAGTGCTGGAATTTGGCAGGGTGCACATTGTTTGTTTTGGAATGAAAAGAGGCACGTCATTAGTGTTTGTTAATTGCAGCTAATTGGCCCTAACGAGCTGAACAAGACCACCCGCTGGGATCAGTCACACAAATAAATTGTAGAAAACAAAATTAATTACTAGATGCTAATTAAAGTCAATTAAAACTGATTAGGCAGGAGTGGGATGGGAAAGTTATAGAGAGCAGGAAAATACCTGGCAGCACATAATATGGCATGACAAGTGTTTCTGGCAGCACTGAGAGAGACACTCACTGTAAAACCTGATATTTTCACCTCCTCTCATGGATACACACTCAGTGGTGCTAATTCCATTGTTAGGACGAAACACTTTACCCATCTGACTTAAAAAGGCAACATGATTATTCAAATGTATAAAATGACAATACTTTTCTTTTATGTTGTCTAATCCCCAGTTTTATTTATAGATTTCTATCGATTTTATAGAAATGTTCTGTATTTCTTTAGGGCGACCTTTGAGTCAGGGATTAAGTTTAAGATGAACCCTTCACCTATCCTCTCCCTTCTGCCTTCGATTTATTTTTAAATCCTGTGTTTTCTTTCCTAGTTTTATCTTCCTTGGCTATATGTTTGAGAGTTTTTGTTGTAAATCTACACTTTTTTTCATCTTTATTAAGAATCTTAATTATATTCATTCTGCCAGTGGTGCAAGATAACCCAGACCATAATCTTCCCTATAAACATGACAATTGCAGATGACATGCAAAATCATTCTGTCTCTGAACACGATGTTCACAATAAAATCCAAAGCATTCACCTATGTCCTCATCTAAATGAGCTTTTACTTTACTATATGTCCTCTTTTTAATCCTATAGACTTGGAAATTGATTTAGAGCTTAACTACTCAGCTGTGTTTCTCTTCTAGATGAAGCCAGTGACTGTTTTACTTTAACCTCACATATGAAGCAGTCCTGGATCAGTGCATCTCTTCTTCCTGTTAAAAATGAGTTTTTCTCTCCACTGTTGCAACATGTATGTTTGGGATGAGAGATTACTGCAAAATCAGCAACGTGCACTGAAACTCCATGCAAGTTCACAGGGATTGAACATTGCAAGTCTATCACCTGATGCAATCTGCCTGCTTTCCTTAGACAGAAACCATTTCAAATAATCTGTCTGTGTGATAGGATTAAAATGAATTGTGTTATGAATTTGCACAATATAAATGAACTAAACTAAATCAGTGTTTATTCTTTTAGATTTTACTATTTTGTTTTATTCTACACCCTTGAAACAATGTTTATCACGCACTTTCCTCAGCTTGGAGTTTATCAAATATTATTTATATAGAGGCCACTTTTTGGGGACATTTTTTGTTATTGTTTCATAACAAAAAAATACACCTGCTATTTGAAGGTTCTTTAATATATTTAATTCAATAAATACATTTTATGTTGAGAAAACTTGTTGGTTTATGGTTAAATCAAGTTTCTCCTACTTTGTGTTAAAGGATCAAATGTTACTCATGTTTTGCAACATTTTATTACTGGTCTGTTCACTTTTTTAACATTGTACAGCTCAGAGCAATATTACACCAGTTAATATTTATTCTGCTTATATTGATTTGAATATAGCAAAAGGAATAGTCCTAAATATGGACAAATAAAACAGGTTTTGTGGGTTTTAATATCTGTTTGTATAATCTTTTCTTGATCCAATACTCAGTCCCTTTATCATTCAATTTATTTACCCATAACCTTATTTCAAGGACTAATTAATATCTAATGTTATTAGATATATTTGCATGAAAGGGTTTTCTGCTTTGCTGGCCCTTTTAGAAATGTTGACACCCAGACAATTATTGACGTGTCCAATACTTAATTTGCATGCTATATACTACTTTAATAATAAAAAAAAATAGTTGTAAACTTTTATCTTGTTGGTATCACAAAACTCTGGTTATTTAAACAGGATTGTGTACAGCGCCTCAGCCAGTTTTAAACAAAGTTTATTATTCTTTTCCTGGCAAAAGGACACACCATCTGTTCCTTTTCTCCACTGAGCCAAATGACCTCAAAGCATTAATATCTTTAACTGGAAAGTGGAGCAGCTTAGCATGACTTTTTCAGTTTAGCAGAAAACACGCATACAGTATTTCCAGTATCTCCTACAGAGACACTCTGCTTGATTAGTTGTAATTTTACAAGACATACAGAGAAGAACAAGAGGAATGAGTAGTCAGCTCCTCCCTACGCCTCTCAAAAGATAAACATGTACAATAGCAGATTATGTAGAACGCTTTTAAAAGTATTCATGCATCTTAATTTTTTTTTTTTTGTATCGCACAGAAACCAAAAAGTACTGTAACGAAGTGATAAATATTTCATACAGCAACTCTAAAGCAGCAAATCATTGTGCAAAGAAAGAGAAGCATGATTTTTAC